ACTGTTATATTTTCTCGGTTGATGTAATCCACTAATTTTTCCTGCGGCACATTTTTTGTAATCACCGTAAAATCAGCAGCTTGCAAAGCGTCTATTCCAGAAACTGCCAAGCCATCATTTGCTAAAATTTTCATAGATTGTATTTTTATTGTGTATTTTAGAACCAAAGTATTTTTGCTTTTTGGTCTGTATTATATAAGGTTTAAATATGTTTTAGTTTATGATAAGTTTTTAAAAAGCAAATGTAATAGTTTCTTTTATATTTATGTGTTGGAATTAATTTAAAATTGTAAGGAATTTTTAGCTAAATTTGCCCTTAAATTTTTATTCTTTAAAAAAGAAGCAAAAATGATTTATTTTTATATAATAGCAATTTTAGGTATTGCACTGACCATTGGTGGAGGAATTGGAGGCTGGGTTCTTTTGAGATTAGGTAAAAGAGAAGCCAAGCAAAAAATAAAAGCCGCTGAAAAAGAAGCATTTTATAAAGTGAGACAAGGAGATAGAGAAAAAAAAGGTAAAATGACACAAGCGAGAAAATACTTTGAAAATTTGAAGGCATCTCACAAAAAAGAAATCAACATATCGAAAAAACAGCTCGAGCAAGAAAAACAAATGATAAAAAATCAAAAATCAAATATTGAAAAAGAAATAAGAATACTCAACCAAAAGAAAAATAACCTTAATCAAAAAGAGAAAAAGTTAGAAAAAACCAATCAAAAAGCGAATGAATTACAAAAAAAATACAGTGATTTATTAGAGCAATTCGGAAATTTATCTATGCGAGAGGCAAAAGAAAAACTACTAGAAGATTTGAAAGAAGTTGCTCAAAAAGAAGCAGATATGTATAGTCAAAGACTGATTGAAGAAGCAAAATTATCGGCTGAAGAAAATGCAAAAAAAGTGATTATAGATACCATTCAACGCGTGGGGGTAGAGTATTCTATTGAAAACTGTGTGTCGGTTTTTAATTTGGAATCCGATGAACTAAAAGGAAAAATCATTGGCAAAGAAGGTAGAAATATCAAATCCTTAGAGCAAGTTACAGGAGTAGAAATCATTATAGATGACACGCCCGGATCTATTTTATTATCGTCGTTTGACCCTGTGCGCAGGCAAGTTGCTTATATGACTATTGAATCTTTATTAAAAGACGGGAGAATACACCCCGCTAAAATAGAAGAGATAATGGGAAAAATGGAACGAAAAATAAAACAAGACATCATAGAAACAGGTAAGCGAACTGTTACGGATTTAGGTATTGCAGGGTTACACCCAGAATTGATTAAAATGGTAGGGCGTATGAAATTTCGCAGTTCTTACGGA